GAAGGGCCCCCCCGGGGGCCCACTCTGTTTTTTTTTTTTTTTTTTTTTTTTTTTTTTCTCTTTATCGGCGCGTATCCCGGAGGTGGCCTTGGCGGGCGCATGGAAAATTGCCCTCTAAATTAATAACCCGCCTGCCGCCGAAAGTGACCGTTAAGGCGGCTCCGCCGTGACCCGGAAGGACTCGACGGAGGCGGGGAAATTTTGAACAATGTGTGCCGAAAACGGTAAAAAAACGGAAATAAGGCGAGGGCTGGCTTCGCTAGGGGGAGGAGGGGCAGGAAACCCCCACCGCGTGAAAAAAAAGCGTTAAGGAAGGGAAGCGCCTCTCGCGCGGGCGGGAAGGTGACGGTTTAAAATGGCGGACGCGGAGTAGAGAGCGCTGTGAGGGGAGGTGGGCTCGGGCTCTCGCTCTCTCTGGGGCGGCTACTGCGGGAGCTCCGTGCTGCTCCTGCTGCGGCCGGTTGTGTGCTGTAGCTCTCGCCGGGAGGGGGCCTGGCAGGCTGGGTCTTCCGGGGCTCTCCTCCCCCTCGGTGCGTTGGCTGAGCGGCGTCGGTGGTTCTGGGGCTGCCCGCACGACGCCGGCCAGGAGATCTCCGCCGGCTGCACCGGCGCCCGTGAGAGAGCCCCGCGGGCCGAGCCGGGCAACCTCGGAAATCCTCCGTTACACGCCGCGAGCTCGGCAGGTTCATGCCTTGGCAGAACGCAGGGTACGATCGGAACGAGGGTGAGGATTAGCACAGCCCTTGTGTAAGGCTGACGAGCAGATTCCCCGAGTTCTGTCTAGGGAATTCGGTGAAAGCTGCTCCCCCATCCCAAAGGTTGTTGCTATCTCACTTCAAGCACTGAATCAAATGCCCAAACTCCGACTATGAACCATAATACCTAGTTCTCATTTTACAGCCATGATAAATGTTATCTATCTATTTGGTAATACTATGTTAAAAAAATAGAAACAAAGAAGAGACAGTTCTCTACTGATTTGTTTAATGCAAGGACAGTACTGGTATAAGAAAGCAATATTAGAAATAGTAGAAAGAAATTAGAAAGTAGAAATATTAGCAGTATTAGAATTTAAATCCTAAATTCTTACTGTAATTATGTTTAATATTTCTTCCACTGAAGTGGAGAAATAAGCAATGACATCAATACAAACCTAGAAGTGACAGTTTCTTTCCTGCTGCAAAAGACTTAAGAAGTCAAATAAACTAATACTGCGCATTTTGTATTGCTTCATGTCATATTCATTATTTTTTCCATGAGGATTTTGATTTCCCTAAAATGATGGAGGGAGTTTCCTGTGTCCCTTATTCACTAGTTTCAGAGCCACATCAAATCAATACAAGCCTGCTGCCAAAGATTGGTCTAGCACACCAGCCCAGTTTGCTACGCAGCCAGATGAATGCTTATGCTGGCACAGGGGGAAACGGGTGTGACTGACACAATGCCTTAAAAATCTGTTACTATAAATTCATAATATAGAAAAGGAAGAATCAGCTCGTGTTATAAAAAAATGCACCTTGATATTCTAATTGGTTCTTTGTAAAGCAGCCTCAGAATAATCATACCGATTTCTTCCACAAGCAAAGTGCATCAATCTACATTCTTAGAAAATACAGCTTAGGAGTTAAAAAAGAGTTAAATATGTAACAATAGCTGGGATATGGATTTTATTTAAGTCCTTTGCTGTAGATAGCACAGGTAAAATTTGATTATTCTATTCAATCAATTCTGTGTTTACTTCCCTTCCTCTTTGGCCATTGGTGAAGGGGAGCTGATTTAGCTGAATGCTCCGATCCTGCCTTGGAGGCCCAACAGGATAGGCACAGGAAAAAGCAGCCATTCAGTTGATAGAAGATGTGTGATTCCTTTTCAGTTTTGCTGAGAGGTTTAACAGAGATCTTCACAACTTACAGATCAATTGATCTTACATTTCTTACTTAGGAACACTGAAGCATAATGCTAAGGGTATGTAATTACTAAAACTGAATGTTATTCCTTGAAACAAAGCAGTGAAAGATTATGAAGACGTTCCTGAGTCACTGAGACAATGAAAGGCAGAAGCACTGTGCAGAGCGTGTGTGGTGGTGGCACTGGGATATTTAGTTTCTCCCAGGTGAGAATCGTTTCCCTTTGGGATGACTCTGTGTGTTTGAATTCAGCTAATTAGACAGTTTTCTTAGACAATTTTCTAAGACTTTTTTTATCTTGCTGGGTATTATTTAGTGGATGGAGATTATAATTCTTAAAAACTACTACAAATCTTTTTATTTTAAGGATTGGGAGATTTCCACCCTTGCAAGTAAAAAAGTGTACTTTCCTAAAACTGCATTTCCCATGGTGCACAAGGGCTTTCTAGGCTGGGTCAGCTGACCTAGATTGTGAAATGTGCCTTATTTCCTGTCCAATGTGCATGGAAATGACTCGTGTGTGCGAATGTCTCATCTTTCCTTCGTCAGGTGATTTAAAGGCTTTGGACTAGAATTCTGATTTAGAACAATGGCAAGAAACTGAGCTGATTAACTAGCTCGGTGTCTGGAAAACTGCTTTGGGGGAAAGAGATGTCACGAAGAAGGAACATACTGCAGTCTGCTCTGTTAACTTCATGGGAAAAGGTAGAGAGAATCTTGATCTTTCCCTTTTGTACCAGACCTTTGTCTTTGGTTTTTTTCTGAGTTACTGATTTTGTTGTACATTATTTGAGAGTCACCAGATTTCTTGATGGTCACATCCTAGCAGCTAATAAGTAGCTCTAAGTAATCATCATTTTTGAAGCTTGATTTCTTTTATTCTTTTTGCTTGTTTGTTTTTAACAGAGGTTAAGAGGAAACTTTTAAAAGAAAATAGAGTTTTTCCAGACTGACGCTGAGGACTTGGCAAGAAACCACAAAATGTCTCCTGATTCAAAAAAACTTTTCAACATAATTATTTTGGGAGTCTCATTTATGTTTATATTCACTGCTTTCCAAACATGTGGAAATATTGCGGTAGGTGTGAATTTCAAAGTGTGCCACATTTCTGTCACAGTTATTAATCCTTTCTTTTCTTTCGTGCACTCTAATATACAAGTTGCTTTACTTGGGATTTTTTTAATGTGCAAGACACCCTGACATTTTGTCTCCTTTCTTTTGGTCTAGTGTTAACTAGATTAAGTTGGTTAACTGGATAATTAAGGAGTTTATTTCTTTGAGATAGCATAGCTAGCTAGTGTGGCTGACTGCTTAGAAAGTAGAAAATTAATGAATCCTATTAAATGTTTGAACTTTGAAATAGGTTTTTGACAATTGCAATAGTTAACAATTATGTTGGACTTTCCATATTTCTGATTATTCTATAATCCCTTTCAAAATATTTGCCGACGTTATTATTAACCATGCCCCTATTTCTTCCCAGAATGTTTTTCCTAATCTAACATATTTTTCTGTTCTAACAAACTAGACGTTGAGGGGGAGTATGGGGATAACATCTGACAAGTAGTCAGGCTTCCACAATTGCTAAACTGCCAAGTCACCTTCCCTCTGAATAAGTAATTCACTGCTTTAATATCGCGTATCTCTGCATGCTGAAGCAAAATTGGGCATAACATAATCCAAATTTACTATTAAAAGCAGATTGTACTCTTACTACTTAAATTTTTAGAGAATCCTGCTACTGACATACTTAGCCCAGATCCTTTAACTTACTGAGTTGCTGGCATTGCTTTCCATATTAGTTATGTGCCTGAAGGACAGTTAGATTTCAACATACGTCTTGAGCCTACACGTCTTACAGCTTCTCTTTTGTTGCATGCAAGAAGAATCCTTTCTGGGTTCAGACACATAAATGCCCTTCACTGCATTATAGAATTAACTACTTAGGATAGTTTTTGTAGAAGTCATAGTGAAGCATGATACTGTCTGTACATGAGTCCATAAGTATAGCCCAGTGATCGTAGAAGTTAACGAATTCACAGCACCTCACTGAACTGGACCGAGTGATCATGCAATCATGTAATTTATTGTCATTAAAGTCATTACAAGTGACTTTCAATCAGATCTGCCTTCCAGTCCAACTAATTACATTGTCTCGTGATCACTAAAAGTGATTCAGGGGCAAAAAAAAGGGAAGAGGGAAATAACAGGAAACGGAAAAGAACGGAAATTCTTATCAGAAGTTCATAGGTCAAATTAAGAGTATTTTGAAACTTCTCCTTTTTTCCCACTTTTAAAATTAAGATAGTCATGCATATCTCCCTGAGAGGTGTTTTGTGAAACAAAAGTTTTGTGAAATATTTTAAGGTCTCTGATGAAATCATGATATAATCTTAAAGTATTAATTACTGCTTCATAGATGTTTCCTTGTCAAATATCTCCTTCGCCTTCATTATGGAAGTGTTGTGAGTTGTAATTAATACTTTAAATTATTTTAAGTACTTTGTAGAGCCTATTAATGATTAATTCTAATGTTTAATACTGACTTCAAACTGATGCAAGTGTTCTCAAACTACAAGATATTTTCTAACATATTACAACATATGATTGTCTCCTTGCAGCAAACTGTTATCACAAATTTAAACAACACGGATTTTCATGGCAGTGGCTACACGAGGTAATTTACACAGATCTTCTGATTACTTTGCTTCTTGCAGGGTGAAGCTAGTTATAATTCCATCTGGTAGAGCTACACTCTCAAGAGATTGTAGTGTTCTGCTGACTTCACAATTTAATGACATACTTAAAGCTGTTTAAAACACAGGCTTCTTACAGTCACGCTAGTTCTACTCTGAATTATTTCTAGTTGAACTATATATGTTTTGCATGTTTTCTTTGTAGGGAGAAAAAACACCATGCGGTCGTTGCATTCCCAGCATTTTATCTTAGGAGATGAGGAGTGTGGAACTTTTAAAATAAATGAAACTGCTGACTAAGGGCTTGGTTGTTTGCCCTTGTACACCTCTGTGTGTTTGTATAGGATAGGTGGTGTGGATCAACTTCCAGGAAATACTGCAACATAAATGTGAAAGGAGCAGTCAGAAAGATGAGAAGCAAAGCTATGAAAAGCCATTCTGATTGCTTATTGCACTGGCACAGCCAAACTCGCCAAGCATGATCAGGGAGCTTCTGTACACCAAATTAGGCTGTCATATAGGAAAACCTGGTTGCTGCTTTGAAGGGTTTACTGTCTTAATTTAAACTAAAAATACAACCGGCACAAAATATGTCTATAAAATTTCTGTGGTGTATTTGGCAGAAAATGGAAACCTCACTGGTAGATGAATGAGGCTCTGGAACGTTCTTGAGAAGCACTGGGCACAAAATACAATAACTATTGTTATGGCACAGTTTGACAAATGCGTGTTATAAATTACAAGACGTGCTTGCCTGCAATAGTTTGGGATGCTATTCAGCAATCCAAGAAACACTGGACACTCCTGTATTCCCATATAGAGTGCAATGGGTGAAGGCAATGGAGGAAAGGAAGGAAATGTTTGACCATGAAAGTTATGCAGTTACTTAAGTTATGTATGTACTTAAGTTGATACTTTGGAATTGACTGAATATTCTTAAATCAGTTGCACTTATACGCTATATGTTGTTTTAAGTACTTAATAATCTTTGATGTTTATTTACGTAGCATGGCCATTATTTATGGAGTATTCTCTGCATCAAATCTTATATCACCATCAGTGGTTGCGATAGTAGGACCTCAACTCTCCATGGTTGTTAGTGGCATATTTTATAGGTAAGTATTAATTTTGGATTTTTGGCTGCTTCCCTTGAAATCTTTCTTTTCATTTTTTTCACACCTAAGGCTACCGTGCCATACATGAAATTGTACTGTCTGTGTCAGTAGATGTGTAACCGCAGAGCACTTCAGCCTACTGGAAACAGAGTGTATTTTTTCCATTGCATGTCCAGACTCTGCTGACTGTGGAGTTCAGGTTGTGGTCTCAGATTAATGGCTATATAAAAAAAAAAAAATCTACATGCTTAGTGGAGTAAAAAGATTTACCTTTTTTCACATATGACCTGAACTGTTTTCCAACATCACTTATGAGAGTAGCTGATTTAGAAGCTAAGTGAGAGATCTGATTGTTAAAGAGCATGGTCCACTTTATATTCAATAAACTGATCTGTTCTATTCTAGTCTATACATTGCAGTTTTTATCCAACCTGCTACATGGTCTTTCTACACTGCCTCTGTTTTTATTGGCATTGCAGCTGCTGGTAAGCATTTTCTTACCCTGCTTACTATTCTTTGCTACATTTGAGTATACCTCTAAAATGTTTTTATTTCCTGAGCAATATGTTCTGTATATTTCAGTACTCTGGACGGCACAGGGAAATTGCTTGACTGTAAATTCTAATGAAAACACTATCGGAAGGAACAGTGGAGTATTTTGGGCACTCTTACAGTCCAGGTAAGCTTTATTTGTTAATCTTTTTTTGTTTGTGCACACATTCTACTTTTTACATTTTTTGATAAGCGGGAGACTGCATCTAAAATACTCCACTGGTACCTTGCAGTCAGTGAAGCAGGGGGGAAGGCTGGAAGCAATGTTTCTACCGCTGTTGTGCATTATAGAACAACGAACGAAAATTACATATTGCAAGCCTCTGCTCTCAATATGCTAAAAAGATACATTTCTGTTAGGGGAGCATGTGACATATGTAACAGAAATCTTGCTGATTGTGGAGGGCTGTACTAATTTGTGTCAGGATCCTGAGTGCACTAATAAGCCCTAATGGTCCTGAACAGCCTCACCTGGGACCTCCACCACACCCTTCCCATCTGCCCATGGGCCCAGGAGCCCCATTTAAACTCAGCCCTGGGCATTTGGTTCCTCTGGCCTGTGGACTGACTTCCTAGCTTGACTTCAGACCTGTCTTGTCAACATAAACTTGTACAATAGTCTGGACTGCTGGGTGACCCTGCCTACAAACTTTGGGTCTGCCCTGCTTGCCTTGCTTGAGTGCTGTGGGACTGGGCTCTAGCTGACGAGGCACCTTCTCTGCTGGACATGTTATCCCCCTTGACTCTTAGCCCTTCTTCCCTGAGGGAGCAGCGGGACCTTGCTGCTCGCTGACAAGTTGAAGTGAAGATATTGAAGTTGGACCTGGCAGTCAGAAGAGGGATCTTGTTATTAGCAGTTTTCTGATACTAAGCTTCGAGTGCTGCATCGACCAAAGAAGTCAATAAAAGACTTGGTATCAAGGAAGGTAGTGAGAACAAGGTAGTGGATGCTGTGTTGCTGCCACTGAGTATTTTGTGCAGATACGGTTTATGCCCCTTGGGAGAGTGTAATGTAATTAGGATATAGGGAAAAATAATAGAAATACATGAGAAGATAGAGCTGCTGACTTGAAGAGAGACTAAAAAGGCTGGGACTCTTTGCTTTGGAGAAAAAGCATCTGAGGAGGATTATACTGATGTTACTAAAGCATGAAGGCAGCAGGTGAGCTGAACGTAGAACTTGCTCACCAAATGCTGTACTCTTTGCTTGGTGAAACTAGAGGATTGGTTTGAAACAGATAAAGTGCTTCTTTACACAGTGGGCGATTCAACTTTTGGAGCTTGCTGCCACAGGAGGGTGTGGGGTTGGGTGGTATCAGAAAGATCAAAAAGGGATCAAGCAAATTGACTGGCAACAGGTCCACAAATGGTTCCTGAAAAGAGATACCTTTCACCACCCCTAATACAGCAGTCTGGATGTTGGGAGATAATGAGGGGAATGAATCGCAGAAAGTGCTTAGACTGGTGAGCCTGCACTAGATGGCATTCCTAACGCTGTTGCGGGGATGGAATACTGGATTAGTACAGCGTCAGTCTGAACCAGTGGCATGCTTTTTGTGTAACTTAAGTTTCAAGTTCCAGAATTAACATATCGTTATGTTATCAGAGTAGCAATTTCCACAAACCCAACTAATTGTGTGCTGTACAGTGAGTATAAAGCATGGCTTTATATGAGGAAACTTGACTCTAAGGCTGTTTTGAATTGCTATTCATTCAGAATTACTGTATTTCAGGAGACTGTAGGTAGGAACACAGCATTTCCCTTGAGCTGTTAACAACCAATTTAGCATTGCTGGGGCAATGCTTCAGACGAGACACATGACTCTTCTAAGGAAGTATTACAAAATCATCTCCATAAACATGTCAGCTTTCTAACGTATACCCTTCCAAAATTATAAAGAGAGGCAACTTAGACGGAGATTGCTTCATTTTTGCTATCACCTTGTGGCTTGATTGCTGGAAATGAATAGCTAGTGTTATGGGGTAGAATCCTTTACTGCGTTTGAAGTTTTGTATAGAGCAAGCAGATTGCATGGAGAGTGATTAGTGTCTTTATTTCTTTCACATTGCACAGTACTACTTTTTGTATTACTGTGGTGCTACAACCTTAATCATATCCCAAAAAGCACTGTTCACCTTTGTTGTCTTTTTTGTTTACAGCTTGTTTTTTGGAAACCTCTATATATACTTTGCTTGGCAAGGAAAAACTCGTATATCAGGTGGGTATTGCTTTGGTATATGGCATGTGCTTCCATATAAATATATGGGAGGCCGTCCTTTAAAGTATGGTAGCATGAATAAACAGATGAAATAATGAACTGGAAAGTGGCAAGAAACTAATACGATAGCAGACTTTTTTTTCAGTTTATTGTTAGGTAGACTATTTTTGGAGTATGTTTTTTGATTCAGTGTTCCATGGTACTCATGGCCCTTAAATTATGTGTGTTGTTCTTCTGCGTGCAATGCACTTTGAGTACCTTCTTTTAGGATAATGTCTATGAAGTTCTTCAGAATGCTCCTTTAGAATAAGATTTTCCACAATAGCTACTTTGGGATTTTCCCTGTGCAGACACACTTATGCCAAAATGCGCATATTTACAGGGAAGGATGCTCTGGAATGGCTGTATGTCTAATATACATGCTATCCTGTTGCAAAGTAAGTTCCTGGTGTAGACAGTCCTTCTAAATAAGATTGGAGACTGATTAACCTGTGAAATAAAGGAAAAGGAAGGAAACCCATCCCAGTTCACTTCATGGCTGCGCTATTCATTGTGCTGGCACAAAGCAGTAGCGAGACAGAGGTTGGAGTGGGCAGCTGGACTGAGAGCAGGTGGCGGCTGCTGCTGCTGCTTAAACTGGCAGCATTGCTGGAAGAGTGTGTAAAGAACTCAGTCTTCCTTTCTTGGCATAGTTTATGAAGACTTAAGTTCCTAATGGGACTGCAATTAATGCTATCAGTTTTTTGTTTGACATCATGCTAGACTGGTAAAGAGCAGGAGAGAGAACAGTAAACTGAATACTCTTAAGCTGGATAGTGGTTGAGACTCACTGGTTTTAAAGCAGAGATTTCTACTTAAGTAAGCAAGACATGGTATCAGCTAAGAAAATGGCAACAGTGAAAATAAAGTGAAATGTAAGATTTTAGTTCTAAAACCCGAGTATTGATGGAAAACCAACATCTTGTAAATAAATAAGGTCCATTGTCCTGTTCTATTAATGACTGTAAGAGTTTTCTTTATTGTAGTGTTAAAGTAAAATATCTACTAGAATGGTCAATTCTTTTAACATTTAAACGATGAGGATACTACTGCTGTAGGCAATCAGGAATAAGATGTTGATTTTTTAAATTATGATTATCAGGCTTCAGAAATACTGGCGTGGTGAGATGAATAGTCCACTTCATGTCTCTGTTGGATCTGTCTTTTCAGGTTCCCCACAGACATGACCCTGGTAGTGCAGCACAGGTTAATTTTTAAAAGTCAACTCCCACATTCCTTCCTCTTTAACACAAAGGCTTAAATGTTATTGAAAATATTGGAGACACTTTGGATCTGGTGGGCCTGAGATTCTGTGCATTCTAAATTTCATTGCTCTTTTCAACCACAGAGTAGAGCTATTGACTATGAGGGAGCTCTGCTGTTTCATTTGCCCCCTTCTTTAAATGTTCTGAGATTCCTCTTTATTAAAAAATGTTGGTATCGGGAGATCTGACAGTGCTTAAAAATCAATTCCTCCTTCCTTTTACTACCTAAATGAAAATTTCACAGGCGTTTTAAGATGAAGCACATATTCTCTTTTTGATCTGTAATTGTACACATTATTCTTAATTGATGTAGAATGATTTTATGTTTACCTTTAAGCTAAAGGGGAAGCAAATACAGACATAGGCAGTATCTTCAGAATCATACACCAGTCACAACTATTAGCTGTTTCTTGGCTTTTTTTTCTGCTTTGTATTTGTAAATGGGAATGACTTCTGTGTTGCAGATTTTCCCATGCCAAACAAGTTGGTTAGTGCAGCAGAGCTCGTGTGTAGGGCAGCAATTGCCTTCCTCCAGCTGCATGTTGTACACTGCGTCAGTTAGGTTTCAGTGGTTTTAAGGCCTTTGTAGTTTACAGGTTTATGATGTTACAGTGCTGATGTTTCTGATGCTGGTAAAGAGCTTTTTTGAGAAATCTGAAGGGTTTTGGGGTACTTTACTGTGTCCACTCTGAATTATATGTCTTAAAAGATGTGCTTTCTTCCGCTAATAATTTATGCACTTCCTTTGTTAATTGGCTCCTCCTTGGTCATACCCTTTGCATGGCAGAAAATGCAAGTGACACTGTTTAATATGCTGATATTTTATTAGCATCATAAAACTGAGACAGGAATTTGCAAGCAGCTGGGTACCTTTTGCTCCATGTGGAAGGTAAGTTAGAAAATTAGTATGCATTTTAAACACTTATGTAGTATGTCGGTGTTAGTTCTTCGAAGGTAGTTGAATTGGTTTGAATCGCTTTTGCACATCTAGTTATGCCTCCTCTTTGTTTTTCCACAGAGAGTGATCGCAGAACTGTCTTCATTGCTCTGACTGTTATCAGTCTTGTGGGCACAGTTCTGTTCTTTCTGATTAGGAAACAAGAGGACACAAAAGCTCCAGGGGAGGAAAATTCTGCTAATGAAATCCTGGGGGACAGCTCGTAAGTGCTTATGGCAATAACATGTTGTCACATATACTCATTTGTGCTCCTGCTCCTCAATGGAACATTGTGCATTCACTTTCCCATTTATGCTGGAAACATTAATGTTATGAACAACCTGTAGAATTTAGAGATTTAGTAGAAAAGTGTCTGCACTTTAACAAGTGAGAATTAATGTTCTTTATATGACATATTTTCAAGGGTGGGGTGCAGTACTGCACATCAAGTTTTTCCATTAATAAGTAAGTGCCTTTGGAAAGATAGCTTTTATCTCTTTCCCCTTCCCCCCCGCCACTGGTTATTAAACATGTATCTGCCTTTCATAGTCTGTCTTGCCCTCATCAGCCCAGTTTAAAGGCTGGAATAAGCAGAAATTACTTCCTTTTTATAGGTTATCTTTTACATACTGAAACATGTTTTTCATATTTTCTCTAAATATATATATGACACCTTGCTAAATACATTAGAAATGCATATAGGTACACAGATAGATTCAGTACAGTTTTGCCTGAGGCATAAGTTTAAATATTTTTGCTTTATTTAAAGAACAACAAAATGTTAGCAAAATATTAGTAAGTATGCCAGTGACAAAATGTTCAAAGCTAAAAATGCTCAGAAGAAAGATTCTGTTGAGCTGGTTAATTTTTGAATGGCATTCACTAGCACAGGCAGCTAGATTTTGTGGTTAGTTTAGATTCTCAGAAACTTTTAATAATAAATTAGGATATTGCAGTATATAGTGCTGGGCTAGAAAATGTACAGAAAATTTGAAAAATTAAGCTGCCTTTCAGCATAGCGATACAGTGTGGTTATTCTTTTTCCATTTTGACTAAGTAATTTATTTACCCAGGTCTGCACAAAACAAAATGGCGAGAGCAGTGGCTGCCTTCAGTAAGTACTGTTTCACGTAAGAGTTGCTTCAAAAAATACGGACATATCCTTTCCAGCTCTTCGTGATTCTGCTGGTAATGTGATCATGTACAAGTCACTTAGAACAAAAATTTGTGAGCAAATAAGGTTTTAAGAATGCATTTCAGTTATTCCACTTCAAATGCAGACCTTCAGAGATGGCCTGCCTGGAAAACTGACTGCCAAATGGTAATGGTTTTCAGACCAGAGATGACAGTTCACATAAGGACACAGGACTGATGCGTTTTGAGCCTTGAGGAATTCGGTTGTCTGTGTGAGCATTTGTGATTTTGAGCCTAGCCAAAACAAAACAGGGCTTGCAGCTGGAAAAGCTTGGAGACCACTGAACTAATGTGTGGGCGAATTACTGTTGATGTATGATTGGTGTGAGCTGGCTGTGCTACAGAAGTGCTCCTTATGGGTGATGATACCATACAAACAAAGCTTGACTGCAAGCAAAGAAAGTGAGGTAGACTTCACTTCAATTACGTACTAGCATAGTCCAGTATTTGCAGGGGTACTTCCTTGGTATCGTTTTAGATCCAAGCTACTTTACAACAGATTCCTTACATAGATGAGCTCAAAAACTGGTCACCACTTGGGGAAAGCTAGTGTGTGACAGGTTTGGGTTTTTTTAAATCCACTAACATAACAAGTTGAAGAAGTTGTTACATGTTGCTTTGTCTTGTCTTTAAGTGATACCAGTTAAGGACAACGGTTTTGAACTGGAGCAAACGGCAGTTTCCACTGACGTTTGATGTGGTCTGCCTGTGACTGTTAAGTTTGTTTGGAGAACCTGGGGCTCTTCACTGAGAATTTACTTATCCTTTTAGGAGACAATTGCCATGAACTGAGAGAGAGTACAAAAATAGAATGAGCAGAAAATTGTCTGCTAATTGAAAACTGTGTATCCCTTCTTCAGTATTTCCACCTTTGCATTTCTTACTAAAAAGGATTTCAGATAACAGCATTTCTTTCAAAGGGCAAGTCAGGGTTGGTTTGTTCAGCGCTCTGTTTACTGTAATAAAGCCACAGTTTGCATCCTTTTAACCTATTTTTGCAAAGAGCAAATGAAAATGTAGCTTGTCTTAATAGTTATATCAGTTTTATATTAATTTCAATTTATGTCTTTACAGAGAAATCTATAAAGCTGAGCTTCACCAAAGAGATTCTGCTTCTCAGTGTTACAACAGCCTACACAGGTATGAAGCAAGCAGAGCATGTAATTATGTAGCAGTGTCAGGGCATTGTTTGGAATTTTAACCCCAGAGCAGGATTGCAATTCCATATCTCTGCAAACATTACTCGACTATTTCAATTAACTTTGAACGAGTTAGTTAGGACATTTCTGTGTTCTGGAAAGTGTTTCAATACAGGAGGTGGGGTGCACCTAAATCTGCAGATACTGACAGATGTAGTAATACTTGGTGTTCAGTACAGTTCTGGGTCACCCAGATTGAGGGTTAGGCAAAATGTACATAGCTGGTCATTTGGCATTACACTATAAATAGGTTGTAGATTGTTTAATGCAATTGCATTGCATTCAAATTATTTTTGTAGAATATACTTCCAGTGTTGCCTCCATTGAGGTGTGGGAGACTACTAACAGTCTTCATTTTAGTTTTGGTTCTATTGGGAAAAAGTTTAACCATTTTCAACTATTTTTGTCATTGGTATTTGCTGTGGCAAGAGCTGTCTCTCTTTAGCAACTTTAGTTAAATCTGGTCTGCCATGGTTAACCCAAGGTATGAGCTGTGAAATAAAAGTACATTTATTTTTGTCATTATACTAAAGTGGTTCTTCCACAAAAATACTGTAAAATGTTCAAAATGCTACAGGGATCCTTTTAATGGATTTTTGGAGGGTTTCTTCCTCCTGATTTAGCTTCATGTAGTTCTGTTCATGAGCAAATTAAGTTTTAGGAAGAATAGGTGCGTTTTCAGAACCTCAGCTTTGAGTTAGTTGTGAAAAATTGTTGTTAGCTCTTGTAGGTGAAAAGAAAGACTTAGATGTGAACAAACTATAAGCAGTGCTGTAACATCTGCTGAAGTTTGCAGTCAGCTTCTGGTAGAGACATAGCAGTGGTAGCTACCAAGTCAGCTTGTACCAGCTGCTAATTTGAGTTACCAGGTACTTCGCAGCATCTCCAGTGTTGTGTTAACCCAAATTAACTAACTTGAATTCCTCTTAGATGTTTAGTGCAATGGGAATGTGAATCAAGATAAGGGAAGGGAGTCAGACAGGTTTTGCACGATTAATCTGCAATTTGGTCTTAAAGGTAATGGGGGGGGAAAAAAAAAAATCAGTCCAGCTTGGAAAAAACAGCTGCTGCCATCTGGTGGCTCTTGGCGAATATTGCCGCTTTCTGTAGGAAAATACAAAATCCTGTAAGGCCGACAAAAGCTTTCATTTCCAAAATCCACTTGGCATTGTTTTAAATATACTTTTAATTAAGAACCTGATATTTTTACACTGGTTGCTTATAGTTATGTTAGTTGAAATTGGCTATGTTACCTTTCCTCAGAGTAACGGTGATAGATAGAAAGAAGTGTTTTAAACAAATAGCAGTTAAATAGCAGTTTTATTTCATTATGTATGTATAGAAAAGTAGCAGTGTGTGTTAGGAATCTTAGCTCCTTATTGCTATTGGGGGATGCAGGGACTTTCTTAGGAATGCCATAACTTGGGGGGAAAAAATCTGACACTGAAATTGTGCTTTATTTCTTCAGTTACTTTAAGCATTTTCTCACATGGCACTTCTCATTTGGATGAAGTTCCAAAGTTCTTGAAAAGTAGAAATACAAACTATATATAGGGATTGTGTCAACAGAAGCAGTACTGAACCTGAGTGCGTGTGGCGCTAATTAGTGATGCTTTTTTCTAATACAGGTTTTGTAAACTGGCATAGGAGGATATTATAATTACATAGTTTAAAATTCCCTGTTTGCTTCTGTTACACATACCTCATTTAAATATATGTGAAAGATACTTCAGGGAAAACGTAAAGAATTTTTTCAAAACTCTCATAATAGTTCATCTATCAATTTTGTTTGGTTTCCTTCAAAGGTTTGGAGTTAACGTTCTTTTCTGGAGTATATGGAACATGTATTGGTGCGGTGAACAGGTTTGGCAGTGAAGAGAAAAGCCTTATTGGTCTCTCTGGCATTTTTATTGGTGTTGGAGAAATTGTAGGTGAGTCTAAATTTACTGCCTTACAGACAAAAAAGGATTAAGATGTAGTTACTCAAAATGGGTTTTGTATTTAACTGAATAGTGTCTTTCAAGCTTCCAGCAATGGTTATGTAAACAAAAAATGAAATATTAGAAATAAAGTTGTCAGCATGGTTTCTTATTGCACTGTGAATGATACGTTACACCATGTAAAATGAATGTGGGCGCGGATGTGAAATACTGATGCCTATGGATCCTAAGATTTTGCATTCTTTTTGGGTTAGTGCAAAGAAATACATAAGACTTAGCATGAGAGAAACACTAGGCTACAATGTTATTGGGGAATTTTCAGCATTTTAATATTCTGTTTTTAATTAGTATTCTGTTTGCATTTTTATTGTATCTCAAGTACTGTTGTAACCATTAAATTTATTTAAAAATATTACACTAAATATTTCTTTCTTTAGAAAAATTAGCTTGTTATATCTGACACTTGATAAAATTGAATACAGGTAATGCTCGTTAAGTAAATTTTTCTTTTGCTTAAACTCAAGTACTGCAGTGTTTAAAAAACCAAAACAAACAAACTCCAAAACACCACTGTCTTTGTTCACTGGCAACTTGGATCCTTAGAGAAATGCATATTATCACAATTAAAAGAGCTAAGCACAAGGCCATTCATTTTCACTTAGTGCTGTTGCAATACTGGATGAAACAGTGGCTGCTGAGAAAGTACTTGCAAAAAGGTTAAGTGTCTTCATTGGCAATCATCTGATAAATGTCCTGCCCACATTTCCCAGACATCTCTAAAGGTTATGTCATTTGGCAAATGGGGCTGGCAGATCTGGCAGACTCCTTGAGACTGTTTTCACGTCTGTCAATCTTTCAGTTATCCAATATGGGGAAGTTTATAATCTTAAGTTTTCAGCTTTTTTTTTTTTTTTTTTTTAGTATTTTAAGTTTGGTTCTGTTCTTTACACCTTCAGTTCTGATTTAATTATCTACTCTTTTTGACTCATACAGGTGGAGGAGTCTTTGGTTTACTGAGCAAGAACAATCGCTTTGGCAGGAACCCTGTTGTGATGCTAGGCATCATTGTCCATTTCATAGCCTTTTATTTAATTTTTTTCAACATGCCAAATGATGCCCCTATTGCTCCTATGGAAGGAACTGATGATGTTGCTTATATGATTCCAAGGTACGTAAACTTTTTCCTTTGGCTGGTACAACTCAAGATGTATATAAAGAGCTTTTTCCTTTAACAGAAAACTCCTTGAAGCTGCTTTTCTGTGTAGTGAGTAACTCCATAGAAAGAGCTTTCAGAAATTCTGGTTTTATTGAAGGTAGATATTCTACCAGTGTGGACCCAATTTAGGAATTTAAATGGCATAAGAATAAAAAGCATGAGGATGTTTGGTAGCAGTTCTGTCACTTGAGAGCTGACATTCCTGACATCTAATACAATAGTGAGGCCAGCAACTATTGTATTAGGTGTCAGGAATTCAGTTTATTATAAAACAGCGTTGGGCTCAGTTTTACTACAGCAGGGAGCACCAGCCTTGCACTGCTGCGCTGGTTTCCAAAGTCTTTGAATGCTCATTGTCAAAGTCCACTTGATCTAACTGGAGCCATACTATGCCTGTCTCTTATATCACTCAGTGTTAGGGGAAGAACATAGAGAGCTTTCTTACCTCATCATTGCGCCTTTCTTTTGGGGTGTATTTTTGACAATTTGTGTGAAAATACAGTGTCGTCAGTGCAGACACAGCTGCTGACTTGCAATTACAAGCATTTGTGCCTGTGCTGGTGACTATTCTTTATTTAACTGGAGTATTTTTCTGCAAAATGAATTGGTATTTCTCTAACATTCCTGCAGTTTTTATGAACTCACCATGTGTGTCTCAGCTTTTAATCACTGCCTTGTGGGTTTTGTGGCTCCAAGCACCAAAACGAGTTCTTCTAGTGGTTCTAATTCAGTGCAGAATTGATTGTAGGTAACAGTAACAGAAGTCTTAGCGTTTGAGAAATTAAAATCTGATTAAATGATTCTTTTTGCCAAGCCAAGCGTTCCCAGTTCTCTTCCAGTGAAATTTAAAGTTTGATAACTTTCTTCCATTCTCACTTTCCAAATAAGTCTGCCAAAAATAGTTTATAGATATGTAAGCTGTTTGAATGAATGGCTTTTAAATTTGATTTGCTTTCTCCTTCAGCAAAGAAGTGGCCATATTCTGCAGCTTTCTGTTGGGCCTGGGGGACAGCTGCTTTAACACCCAGCTCCTCAGTATTTTAGGATTCCTGTATTCAGAAGACAGTGCTCCTGCCTTTGCCATCTTCAAGTTTGTTCAGGTATTATGTGATGCAATCTTTTGAAAGTATGACTGTTGGAATGTTAGTGAAATACTGGGCTGGGTTTTTTCATGAGCTTAGAAAAATTGTTATTTCTGCAAAGGATTTCAGCCTGTTTTTTATCTTTCACAGGAGAGAAGAAGTTTTTAGGTAGGAGTAGCTTGATGGTATAGCTTTGTGCGATTATATAATCGTACTGCTGTTACTTACAAGTTTTGAGGGAAATTAGAAGTGTTGGGAATTGCAGTTTAAAGTCAAAAGGCGAGTACAGTTAACCAGACTTGGATTTTATTTAAATAACCATTTACTGACTTTATTTACTCAAAGAAGTCTTTGACAGAGGGTTGTGAGTTAAAAGGAAACAAGTTGTATAAATAGTGGTTAAAGATTTTGTGGATGTTGTACCGTATCACTGGGAATTACCAGGTGGTTATGCAGACAAAAGAAGAATTAAGTAACGTTTGTGTGTCCTTAAGTTGTCAGAATGCCAAAATAAATGTGTCTGTGCTAGCTCTCTGAAAAGTCTTCATGAAATATGAGCATGACTGCTGTATTTTGGATAGATCGCTTCACTCACAGGCATTAATCTTGTTTGGTACTGAACTTCCCAGGTCAGGATTGGTGTTGATCAGAGGTATCAGTAGAAAAAATGGTGGTGCAAAGTATTGACACTCTTCATTCACGGGCACAGAATAGCAAGCAGAGGTCAGAGTGTCTCTAGTTTAAAAGATGACAGCTGCTTGCTTCAAAGATATTTTTTTTCCCTTCTGTGCTGCTCCATTTTTATATCATTCTCAGTGATATGTAAGAATTTGAGATAGACATGGAATATAAAGATTCGTTACAGGTGCAAAGTATTGACACTCTTCATTCACGGGCACAGAATAGCAAGCAGAGGTCAGAGTGTCTCTAGTTTAAAAGATGACAGCTGCTTGCTTCAAAGATATTTTTTTTTCCCTTCTGTGCTGCTCCATTTTTATATCATTCTCAGTGATATGTAAGAATTTGAGATAGACATGGAATATAAAGATTCGTTACATAAGCTCTAATGACAACTTTACCTTTAGAAAGGATAAATTGCACGTAAGCAACACCGCTTGTCAAAGCCTCTAGCTATTTTGATATAGAATAGTTTGTGATGCTGTAAAACTGGAAATAGTTTTCTGGATTTTGTTTTAAAGCCTTGGCAGTGTTGTCTAGACAAACTGTTTTCAAATACCAGAGAACCACATTTGCAATGCTACACACACTTTGAGTTTTGTGTTCACTTCCTGCAGTGAACACACTTAAATAACAAGTGAAAACGACATCTGTTGTATATCACATGAAGACATATGTAGAGGTATAATGGCGTTTTAAGATTATATATCTTCTACAGAGGCATGCTACTGAGAGTTACATATTAAACTGTGTGTATGTCAGTTTGATAATCCTTGTGTAGTAATGCTAGCCTGGATATCTCAACTGACGATCTTTTTACATTGTGTTTTTTCCTCTCAGTCCATCTGTGCTGCAGTTGCGTATTTCTACAGCAACTACTTTCTTCTGCAATGGCAGCTCCTGATCATGGTGGTTGTGGGCTTCTTTGGAACAATTACCTTCTTTGCAGTGGAGTGGGAAGCAGCAGCAGCTCTTGTTACCCGTGGCTCGGACTACAGCAGCATTTGATCTAAGTACCATACCTAGTCCAACATAAGGAAAACCGCAGGCACGTTTATTGTGAAGTGTTGCAAGAAGGTGAAAAGATCAAGTCGCTGCAGAGGTTAAGATGGAGGAAGCTACTACTAAATCACCATCAGCCTAACTGAATGTGAAACATGAGGGAAAAAAAATGCCAAATTTGAAAGGCTTTTTTCTTGCTTTAATCAACTGAGCATGGTATGCATGTTCTTAAAAATCCAGTAGTAGAAATGGAAGGAAATGTAGAGATCTATGTATTGAACGATTCTGTTCTGAGATGTATGTTTCAGAATGCAATTGCCTATCTTCACTCTACCATATACTCCAGAATTACAATTTCATTTTTTCCCCTTAAATTCTTTTTCCTATATTCTAGTTCCGCAGACACCTGAATTCTTGTATTGAATGGGTGATATTTTTATAAGGTACATTATATCACAGAGTGTGTCTGCACAACTGCGAAATCAATTTGTCATTGACTTTTTCAACAACTAGATATGTAGAAGTGTTTCTGTGGGAAAAGTTGCCTTCTGATTCTGTATCACCCAGTTCCTTGTTTCCCAACCATTTGTTTATTAATCTATTTCATGTGCTTAAACTTTATCAGATGCATTTTTTTTTTTTAAGAAAGTGGATCCAGGCTGTAGTGTGATACGAAAGATTTTACAAGAATTTGAAGAAATTACCCTTAGCCATCTTAAGGATGCGATCCTGAGATCTGTGAAGTATTGGTAATTGAGAACAGTCTCCTGGTCCAGCATCTCAGAATTGAACTGTGTTCGCGTAGCTGCTGAAACTTTCTCAGGGTAATGCTATGTGAAGGACCATAAGACATGGCTTTCCTCCCAGATTCCCAAATAGTTCTTTTGAGTTCAATGAAATTTTCATCACAATCTGTCTACGATACAGTTTATCAAAATACAAATAGACTCAGAATGTGAACTGTAAGAATAATCTTGCAGTGTTTATTCTACATAGTCTAAAAATACCTGAAATGCTTGACATACGTTGTTTTATTCGGTATATTTTGGGAAAACTGTACTGTAATCTTACTCTGCCAAATGCGAAAACAAGGATACTAGCATAGTAACTAAGTTTTAATGCAAAACTGTAATAGATGATGTAATACAGGCAGTGAATGCAACTTGCCTTGATTTTATCTATGTGACTCTGTAGTACTTGCAGTTATGTTTCTCTCTGGCAGGTGAACAAATTGCAACCAAGAGCAGGTATGGAACACTGAGAAGGTGTTTTTAGACACTCCACGTAGCTGTTTTTAGAAAAGTACCATTTGCCAACCTCTTTTTATGCACAGTCAGAATGTTAATGTCTTGTCTTTAAAGACAATTAAAAAAAAGTCTATACTCGAGTATGTGTCAGTATTTCCTGCATGTCATAACTATGTAGGTGTACCCAAGATTAAACTCAGTGAGGGCGTATGGTATCTCCTGTGATGTTTGCTGTCACTTTTGCTCTCACAGAGCACGTAACACGCAACTCCCATGAAGCACAGCCCTCTCCATGCACAGTAAAGCAGCAGAGAGGGATTATTTTGCAGGCCCATAGAAAGGGATTTTTAAATTCACTGCAGGTTTTTGCTCTGAGATCAGTAAGGTGCTAATGGGAGGATGAGAGGGCACCTGAATGTTTGGCAAGGAAAGAAATCTGTGAGGACAGCCAGGAGAGAAAGCCTTTGTGTGTTCCCAGGAGATTTAATGAATGATGTAAAAGAGAATGAGACACAACACACATTTGAGCGAGGGGTTACCGAAGCCATTCCAATTTGTCAGACAAACTGAAAAAGCATTCAGTATTCAATCAATATATATGATTAATGTGACTAGCAGCTTTGTAATGCTCTCTCTTATCCACTCCTGTTATCCTGTAATTTGAAGCATACTATTTTTATATACTGAGCACCATAAAAGGTATAGATGATAGGATGCTGCCAGTGATCAGAATTCTCATGTTGCGACACACTTGTGTTTTCTCCCAAGTACCAGAGGGATAAAGAAGGTTTGGGTTTTGTTTTTTGTTTTTTTTTTAAGGTAGGGAATTACTGACTTTTGTCTCCGAATTCTTCCTGGAACCTGTTTTCCCCTATGTACTGACAAGAGAAGGAAGACTTCACAAGCAAGTTCACAAGGAAGTTCACAAGGAACAATTTTGTCCTGCAGTACATTGGGGGGGAAAATGATTCTTGGGTCTTCTGGTGATGAGTAACTTATAAATGCTTTTAAAACAATGTCATTTAATTGTAGCTAGGTTATGGGTCTCATGAGGTTGCTTTTTAAATTGATCCATTTTAATGATGAACTTCTGTGTTGTTCGTCTGCCATAGGAGAATTAGATCAACTATTTTATTAGAAATAAAAAAAAATGGTAAGTTTATGTAGTTTCAAAAAGTATTTTGGGACTGATTTTCAGGGTGGTGTGTTTTTTTTTTTTCTTTTTTTCTCTGTCCTGCTTGGTCTGATTCAATATCAGATAATGTTAGAAGACTGTTCAGGACTGTTTATTGGGCCATTAAAGTGAAGTAGTTTTGCTCTGTGACAAGTTTTACAAGAAATCATGAAATTCTCAAAACTGCATCATGAATAGCCAGTTTTTGGGTTGGTTTTTTTTTTTTATACTATTAACTATATAAAGTATTGCTTCTGACATTTGATCTTAAGAGACCATTCTCGGTGATTCAAGCTGATGATGACACATGATTACTTCTCACTTATTCATACTTCTTCGATTTCTCTGGAGGTGAAAAATCCACCCAGCTATACACAATTGCTAGTTCGATCAAAATTTTTTTGTATAGCAATATAAAGAATAGTAATGCTGATATCCATTTATGATTCCACCTCTTAATTTTTATCAGCATTTACCAGCCCTGAGACTGCGCCCCATTCGTTTCACCTCCTTGGCCTTTGAACAATTTCATGTTAATCTGAATTGGGAGTTTACTGTTGAATTAAGTGGGATTTGAAAAGTTTTTTCAAAAGGCTTTTGCTGTGTTTGTGGTATTGTGGGTTTGTTTTATATTAGGGATTTTATCTTTATAAGTGAAATTACACATTAAGTTGCTTGGGTTTATTGAAAAGTAAAAAGTCATTTGTTGGTTTTTTTTTCCTCTTATCCTTTTAGATTGCTACTAAGGTTTAATATCTTAATGTATCACACCCCCAAGTCTTTCAAACAAATGCTAAAGAGGAAATGAAAACTTGTATTCTTGACATTTGAGTGCCAAAGAAGCTGCTACAAATGACTCTTTAATGCATATCATATAAGCATATCTATATTTTTGTCTTGCCAGTTGGTTTGCATTTTGATACATGAATGTATGGAAAGAGAATTTCTACAACTGTAGACCCTGTTCGTAATTAAGTGATGTGCACGTACAATCTGTGTTAGCAAGTTGAGATAAGGACAAGAACCATTTATAAAATGTTCTTTATAAATAATTCTAATATATGAATTTCTGCAGATACAGCTAAATTCATAAGGGATATTAAAAGTAAAAAAACCACAAAACCAAAAACATAAGCTTTACCAAGGTCCCTATCTTAGCAGAAACCCTCCTGTGGTACAGTTATTAAATATAAGTTTTCTGCTGGTATAGTTCTTTCAAATTTGTCACCATTTTAAACTGTATTGGAAAGAGAACTTCCTGGTGGAGTTTTCGGGTATAACTTTATGGGAAAGTACTTTAAGTGTAGAAAACCATAAATTCAGGAATGTGTGTCAGTTAACCAGACTGGGAAAGCTCCATTTGATGTTCTTTGAACCCCACAAGCTTACTTCAGCTGGGGCACGTGGTTCCCTGGACAGCAGCCTGACTCAGTGCCAGTAATTAATGCTACAGGTTTCCTAGCAGCTTGTCTCTGAAGCGTAGGCGTGTGTGAAGAGAACCTCAAAGATTGTTTTCTAGGGCAATGATTAATTGTTTGCTGTCAGTATAAATAGGAACCACTCTGTTCAATATCATGCCAGTAGACGCAATACTTTGACTCTGATTGTGCGAGTATGTTAGTTAAGACAGGATCTTACAATCATGACCATGAATTTTGCTAGCAAAATGCATTTTCAAAGGCTTTGTCCACACCACTATTTTCCTTGGAAGCCTTGTAGCCCTACTTATGCTAATGGAATGGCAGCAGTAATTAATACCATGTTTTCCTTGTTCCCTGGTAGGTCTTCTAATGTGCTGGCAGAAATGTTAAAAAATGGGAGAATTTAAAGATGGAGATGAAGTTGAGAAGTTAGCTGCTTAACAAGGTACTTGCTATTCTGGTATGACCGTGCTGGTTCAGAAGCAAGGTTGAGACTCTGTTGTAGTTTTCATGGATAAATTCAGAATGATGCTTTTAAAGTTTAACTTTGGAGATTGTGTTAGTACCACAGAGAAAGCACTAATGAGAGAGTGGAAAAAACATCCTTAAAGTGCAATAGAGAGTAAATCTGGAACTGAGAATTAATTGGCAGTGGGCACGTGAAGGGGCTGCTTTGTTCAGTTGAGTTTGGGCATTTAGCTGCTGCTGGCATTGACTCAATTTCTATTTGTTTCATACTTTCTCTGCTATCTTAGTTATTTCAGCTGTTGACATGTTGTTCTCCAAACCACCCTTTCTCTTTTGTTTACATTTTAACACTGTGCAGAAGTCTAATTTAAATGATCAGGACTTTTTTTACTTTTATAAAAGGTGTCTTTGGCTTAGAATTGGTGATAATTGAGAACAGGCTCATGCAATGATTATCCTAATGAAAACACTGATTTCAAGTGAGTGTACCTGACTCTCTACTGTATTTCTTTTCATGGTCACAGCCATGCAAATAAAAGTGAATCACAGGCAATGTTTTTGTTAATATGCTTGTTAAGTTGTCAGAATTGCTCATGTCACTGTTTTAAACAGTAATGCCATGGGTTTTGGAAAAGGGAGACAGTCCTAGCTGGTGGATCTCAGATGTGCTTTGTGTCATCTGTAAGGGCCTGCTTAGGAAAATGAAAATGGCTCATTTAATGCTAAATAGCCCTTTTGAACTCCTTAATTCTAGTCATGGCGTAGATTAGTGAAATGTCTGGGGTGGCTGCTTCAGTCCTAGCCCGTTTTCTTTCCCTGTCCTGTTTTGAGAGCCCATCTTTAAGAAAACTGACCCTGTTGTTGAGAGGAGAATGTGTCTCATGCGGTGGGGTTTTTTTTTTTTTCTGTTTGGGTTTTTTTGTGTGATCTTCCAGTAACCTCTCTCACAACTTTGGATATTTTTCTCCTGACTCAAGTGCTGTATTTCTGAAAGAACTGTGAAGCATTTGGGTCCTGTTTATCTAAAATTAAAAATAGATGTGGAGAGCTATTGTCCAGTCAGAAACCGTGGCTAAAAGGAATGATTCAGTCCTGGCTTCGTACTGTGATTAAAGGGCAGAGAGGGAGCAGCAGGCAACAGCTTTGCTGGATGGATTGTACGTGAAAGAATATGACTGTGGAGATGAAGATGCCAAGGGAAGGTAACAAGTGCCTCATGCAAGGAGGCCAGTACAGACAAATTTTTGCCTGCTGTATTTTTCCCTCAAGATTCAGTAACTTGCAGATTCGTCAAAATCCACTGTGGTTCCACTAGTGTGATCTTTGGATGGCCTTGGTATTCTGATTTCCGAGAGAAAGAATCTGTATTCCATAGGCAACTGTAAAATCCTTTATGTGAACAGAAAAGAACCTTGCAGGTTCGCTTTCGCCTGCGCTCAGCCCTTTGAATCTTTGGATAAAAGGACATTTAGGAGTTTGCACTTCAAAGTTAGATCATGAAGGTGGGAAAAAATAAGAGGGCTTGTGCCTTAAATGAAAAAAAAAAATCATTCATTCTGTCATATTAAAGGGAAATTGCTATTTGTTAAGGTCACTTAGTGAAATTAGCTTCAATTAAGCATCCTTACTAAATGCAGTGGTGATGGCTTGTTGTTAGAGCCACTCATCTTGTGGTAATGCCTGACCTGCAGTGTTTGTTATGATTATTAATCTTTCTAAAAAAAAAAAAACAAACCAAAACAATTACACAGATAATAACCTGTTTAAAAGAGCCTCACCACCATACATCATTATTTGCTTTGTGCTCACAGAAGTGTAACTGTGCTACAGGGCATTTGTTCAACAGCTCCTGTGCTGAATGATTGTGCGAAGGGAGGTGAAGCCTTTCCTCAGTGGCAGTAAAACAGCGGCAGATGCTCAGGGCTGCACGCTCTGCTCCTTTGCCAGGGAACCGAGAGTTCGGTGCTAAAAGCAAGGGGCACAGAAAGAATCGCAAGCTGCCAGAGTGCCTCTGCCCTCTTCAGGCAGCATGACTGATGGAGGAGAACAGCGAGTGCTCAGCCTTATCCCTTGCTGAAATGTCCCCAAATGCTAAAATTTGCAGACTAAATTTCTAAACTACCTTTCTTCCCATTATATGTATCCCTATAAAATATCTGTATAGGGTATAAATGACCACTGTCATGTATTCCTATGCTCAGCTCGACACAGGGTAAAACCAACTCAGCTGGCGCTTCCATTTAGGTGTTCTCTGTGGGTGTAGGTGACCCAGCCTTGCAGCACGATGACAGCAG